CTTGACAGCATGGAGATGGAGGACGGCACCATGGAGACAGTTCCGGAATATGTGACAACAGTAAGACCAAGATATCTCAAGTTGACTTGCAGGAAGCAGTTGTACGAGTCCTTGATAACAGGCAGCAGCTCATCTGAGTACGACAAGATCAGCCATATCAAGTCATGCACTATCGACTACATTTCTGAAGATGAAGAGTGATTGCTCCACCGCCAGATCAGAAATAAAGCAAGTATAAATATATTGTTCTGTCGCAAGACATTGCACCTACATGTGCTGTCATAGTCCCTCGCGTAAGGGTCACTTGGTTCGTATTCTGAAGTAAACTTCATTTGTGCAGGTGACCTCCATTATGCCATCTTTGTTGTGGAGGTGGGAATGGAATCGGATCAGTGGGAACTCATTATCTCCGGCACGCAGATTTCAGTTGTGTACCATCTGCTTGCTGTTGCTTTGGCCAAAAATGATTTCCAGTGAGACACACAGGACTGACTCTGTACAACAGATTATTGCGTTGCCCTGGAGGACGCTTGGAATTGGAATTATAATATGGTGAAATTGTCCTTGTGTTCAGACTTTGGCACTAGTATTTTCATATCCTCTGCTTCTCAGCCCGCTTTGCAAGCTAAGGAAAATGTAACGGAGCAGATCACAAATCCAGCACCAGCAAATGGACCGGGAAATGGGAATTATTTTAGGATCAGAAGTCAGGAGATTATCAGCAGAAGGATACGTGAAAGAGGTAAAAGAAATATGAGCGGCAATGGATCCAACCAACAGTTATCAAGGAACAAGACTGGTATTTCACTAAGAAGACTGAAGGCTCCCTGGGAACAGCACTGTCAGACAAATAGAAAGTCATAATCCCTTCCCCGATTAGTTTTCTCTCTCCCTCTAGTTCTTCTCTCTAATTTCTTTCCTAGGTTTTTCCCCTAGTTGCTCAAAACTCGGGGATGAGATTCCTTCTAAGTGGGGTAGATCTGTAACACCCTATGTTTTGCATCCATTTAAAATTCACTAAAAATTTGAACTTTTTGAAGTTTACAACAAATTAAAACTTGACCTATATATTTTCCACGAAACCGTTCTCGAAAAACCCTTTTCAAAACCGTGCATCAAAATTCACCATACGCCTTCCACTTGCTTTTGGAATTTTGAAATGCTCGTATGAATGATTATATGTGTGTTGCTCTAGGATTTATTTGTGGCACTGAAAGTATTTCCCTGAAACCCTTCCCCTATTTCTCTCCTAAAACCCTACACCATTTTTGTAACACCCCAGGTACCACGCAACCCTGGGATGCCACACATCTACACCATAGAATGTCGAAGTAGAAAAAAATTCGACAACATAAGCCTAGAAACGAGCACAACGCGGAAGCAACGACAGATAGATAGATAAATAAAGCGTGATACTCCACATAACAACTCTATCTTTATCAAACATGAGCAAGAGTACTCTACCATCTCTCAGACTTAGGAGAAAACATCTTAGCATTATGAGATCATGTAAAGGTGCAAGGTGTGCAACTAACCCTTTTCCCTCCATGCTATCTTCAAAGGACAACCTGGGGAGGGAAAAACAAGGGTGATATTGAATAATCTCAGCAAGCGAACTACTTTAACAAGCTATTTAAACCACATTAGATTAATTAATCATTTAGTATTGCAACAAGTATTAAAGGACAGCCCCACATATCCACTTCCACCTCTAAGAATTAAGTGATCATGGCCTAAGAAACATAGCATTAGTTTGTAATGAGTTACCCCTGATGAATAATGTATGACCCATATAGAACAATAGAAAGTCACCCGCAAAAGCCATAATACATAGGTTACCATAACCGGGGAAATAAAATAGCATAAATGCATATCATATCCCATAACAAAATGAAATAGCATTTAAAGCAATTGAAGTGCTTACGAATGTGAGGAAGAAACTGTATATAATATCTCCACAAACCCATTAGCCGTACCATAACTCGACTCACTAGAAAGAAGGATCACTTGTCATATTAGTTACGATGCAACTCATTCAAACCAATATCTAAATATCCATACAGACCACATGTAGTATATCCAAAGTCCGATAAGCCATAGTACAATGTAAGACATAATTATTCATAGTATATCACAATATACTTCATCACATTCAACCTTCAAACCATACAGAAATGCATAAAAATGCACACGAACTCCTGCCTTCATACCCATCATTTGTATGAAGCTTGCATCGTTATGCCCAATAAACGATGCTATATGCATATGCATGCATATGAACACATGCCTTCATACCCAACAAGGTATGAAGTTGCATCGTTATGACGATGCTGTACCGGTACGGTCGCAGCTATCAAGCGGCGACATAACTCCAAATGCCAATATACCATAATCCAAATTCATAATGCATATGCAATACAAATGCCATGTCTCCTGCCTTCATACCCAACAAGGTATGAAGCCGCATCGTTATGACGATGCTGTACCGGTACGGTCGCAACCATAGGTTCGCGACATAACTCCAAATGCCATGCAATGCAATGTGATGCAATGCCACAAGGTAAATATCATCTCCAAAAGATCCAAATATCACATACCTCCTGATGAATAAGAGAATAAGACATGATATTCAATATAAAGAGATACATATAGAGCTCCTTCAACCTGAGTAGTATCAACCAGGATGAAATGATAGAACCTCATATATGCCAACCATTAGTAAGCTAATTATTAATACCGTGATATATATAGACCTCCTTCCTTTTAATAAATTAGGGTAGCATACAGCCATTAACAAATCTTGATATAAGGAAAGACACCAATTCAATAATCTAAACCTCTCACATGTGTATCAAATCACAACGGACCTTTTACAAATAAAGAGGCACCCAAAATTCAGTTCTTATGTTTTAACACAACACCCCAAAGACTTATAGAAGATTAATCCTATCATTACTCACAAACCCAACATCCTTTTACTTAAACATGATAGCAACCAAGAGTCATAAAGCAGCGTAAATGCTACAGAGGCTTTCATACACCAAGATTAACATACCTCTGTAACAAACCCATTAGTTATTATGCCACTAAGGATTCTATGGACCTCAATTAGAGTAAAAGAACATGTCATAGGTTAGGTAACCAAGCATATGCCACATGTGCAATAATCTATCAACCTCAAGCATAATCTCAAACCATCATCTATAGAACACTTTATTTATCTATGAATCCATGTTAAAGTAGAAAGGAAAATACCGACCACATAGCTACATTAGTTAGCAATATCATATTCATCCCTCTTCCATTAATTATGAAAGTCATGTCTAACTGTTCCGATTATCACATATAAGTATGTGTGCTACATTATATAAGTGGAGGCAGTAAAATAGCATGTTAAAGTTGTAGCATACACGCCTTGCGGCAACAACACCTGCTAAAACCACTTGTATATTAGCATAACCACTCCAAAAGACATTCACATATAGAACATAAAGTATTTATAAGTCCAAAATCCCCAACACCAAAGTCAACCGACAAACAATATTCCTTCTTGTCGTCCTCGATGAAGAGCAGTAGTGCTTCTCTTTTTCATATTTATTTTTATACAACAGATTAGGTGCCAAATAAATAGATATTTACAAACTACAGAGAATATGCTACAATGTTGGTAGCAAAACTAAAATTTTATGAGGCCTCTAAGGTTGCCTAAAATGTAATCCAAAACAGCTCTTCCTCATCTGCCTAACAGCTCGAGCATCAACATATAAAAATATATATCTCCTAAAATATGCATCCAAAAATTATGAATTTTTGCAGGCTGAAAGAACTTTTATCCCTCTACAAATGTCTCCATAGTTAGAAGATCTAATTCGACCATTTACCATAAGAAAAACACCAATGAACAGGCCTCACTAAATCTGCCAGGAAAACTTGAACAGTCAACATAAACTGGCCATACCTCGAGTTATACTCCACCAAAAATTGCAATAAAATACAATTTGGAAAGCTGAATAAAATCTCTACAACATTCTAAAATATTGTAGAAACCAATTTGGTCCTTAACAGATCCAAAACTCATGACCTTGCCCTTTCTAGATTATTCTTTTTTTTTATGTGTTACAATTTTCCTCCCGAAATTCCCTCCTTGAAATTCCCAAACCCAAAACCCCCTCTTGTAATTTTCTGGGAAATAGTGAAGCCATCTCCAATATATATACGCATATGTGTGTATGGAACTGAATATAGATATACATATATGAACACGTAAATGCATATTTACACCAGTATGTAAATCTATATATGCGTATTCAAATATTTTTAAATTCATACACATGAATAGATATATATGTGGAGTGTGGAGTCAAAACAGAAAAAGGAAAAGGGATTCATAATTGGGAAAGCCCTCTCGGGCTCCATCTCTCCCTCTCCTCCCTTCCCGGCCCAACCAGGACGCAACCGCGGCCCAGCTCCCTCTCCTTCTTTCCCTCTCTTCTCTTCCCGCCTGGGCCGGAACCAGCCGCGGCCCAGCACGGCTCCCCTCACACCCCTTGCTTCACCCCGCGTGGGCCTCGACCCAGTGCCGCCCAGCTCCTCTCCCCGACAGGTGGAGCCCACCTGTCAGCTCTTTCTTCCACCTCCATCCCTCTCCCTTCAGGCAACGTTGACCTCGCCACAGCAGCTGCCGCGTCCGCACCACGTCACCATCGCACAGCACCACTGCCGGCAAATATCTTTCCGTTGACCTCCATCGCCGCTGCCCGCTCGCGTCAACACATCGACCGCCACCGTCGCCCGCAGCATAGTGAGCCGCTGACCTCCTCCACCGCCTTCCTGCCTGCGCTGACCGTCCAACAGTGGAGCCGCGGACGATGCTGGATAATATCGCCGCCAACGCCTTCTGTAGAGGTTGACTTGCTGTGCGGAACAGACCTACCAGCGGCTATAAAAGCCGGCGAAGCTCGCCATCGCGTCACCCATCGAGCTCGAGTTCAGAGCACGCGATGCCGAGGCCTGCAAGGGAGCGCTGCGTCCCTGCCTCCGTCGCGCTGCCGCCGAATCCGATGAGCTGTCTTCCCACCTCAATTCGTCCCCTCTCCCTCCCTGTTGCGCCCCCTCCGCATTCTTCCCAAATCGGAGCGCCGCCGCCTCCGCATCTCAGGCCAAATTGGAGGGAAGGTGAGTTTCCCCCGACGTCTCCCCTCGATTTCACCCTTTTTCTCTTTTCCTCCCCCTCTGTGTTGCTCTGGCCACGTACATCGATATTTTAGATGAGTGAGTCATGCGTTCTTTTTAACATTTCTATATTATCTAAGAGACTTTGGAAATGACTTTGATTTCATTTCTGCAGGGCATACAAGTGGTATAAGTTCAGGGTGGACAGTATGACCCCAAGAAAAAATGTCAAAAGCTGAACGTGCGGAATAATTATCTAGTAATTTTAAATAACCATTCATATTTGTCTCATATATATATATATATATATATGGAAAATCTTTTCTACACCCTAGGAGTAGTTACTCCCACGTACGTGTGGGTTCCTGCACACGAGACCGCGTAAGGCTGATGGGCAGGTTATTATACAAGAGTTGACCCGTTAACAAAATTGACCGGTCCTATTTTTTAGCTATTGTTGTTGGATCTCACCGATACAGCTCGCTCATTTATTCCCGACCTCTACCAGCGTCGAAGAGACGGAGGCCTGCGGTAGCGTTCCTGGCGGCGACGGCGATGCAGCCCGACTGGCATTGAGCGCGCTGTAACAATGAAATTAGGTTTGCTTTAGTTTCTCCGAACATTATTAAGCCAGTCTCATGTTGAGTTTTATGGCATTAAATTTTATGCCACGTACGTCAGCAATTTTGCTGACTTGGCAAGGTCATTTATGAGAAGAGTTTTATCAGATGTGAAAAGAGTTTCATCCCCATGACACTCAGCTGGTATAGTTACCTAGTTCTCAATCTTGGTAACTGTGCAATAAAATTGTGCGCTGAGACTAGCCTTATTATATTGCCACATTGCACACGTTCTGCTTTGATTTCTCCAAACATTCTTGGCAAAACAGGGGAATTATGTGCCGCCTTGTGCAACAAGGATGGCCGATCACGGCGCGTGAAGACCTACTTCAGCCTCAAACAACTCGAAACCGACTTCCCGATATGTCTCCAGAACAAAGCCACGCATGCCAAGCTAGGCGTGAGCCCGGCTTTTCATCATTTCTCCAAGAAAACAACAAGAAGATAATAAGGACGATATGCATTTCAGCATTTCTTGAAAGAGCAAACCAGTTTGTTGGCTTGCTAGGACCTGTCATCAGTGATGTAGTGTTTCTTGGCTAAGATTATTTTACTAGGTCTAGATGACATCGATCTTCAATAAACAAATCAGCCGCACCCGCTGGTATCTTTTGAGCTGTAACAATAGAACTCAGTTCGCCCATATGTGTGATCCATGTGGAAACTCCAATGTGATACTAGCTAGTATATACTGTGATCCTCCATACGTGTCCAAACAAGACATTCGGCATAATAGAATACTAGTATTGAGCGCGCTGTAACAATGAAATTAGGCTTGCTTTAATTTCTTCAAACATTGTTAAGCCAGTCTCATGTTGAGTTTTATGGCATTAAATTTTATGCCACGTACGTCAGCAATTTTGCTGACTTGGCAAGGTCATTTATGAGAATAGTTTTATCAGATGTGAAAGGAATTGTATAGTTACCTAGTTCTCAGTAAAACTGTGCGCTGAGACTTGCCTTATTGCCACATTGCACACGTCCTGCTTTGATTTCTCCAAACATTCTTGTAATTGGCTAGTCTCTCTGATTTATTATTGCAACTTCTCCTGCTACTACTTGCGCATGCATGTCTATATATTGCAACCTTCTCCTCGATCGATCCCTCATTCAGCCATCTGCTCGCTAGCTCATTCGTACGTCTCCAACGTACCACCTTGCAGCAAAAAGCTAAGCATCCGATGGCGCCGTCACCAAGGAATCTCTCTACCACCACCGCTGTCTTCCTCCTACTCGTCATCGTGACCGCCGGTCAGTACACATGTACATGTGTATAAGCTCATATATATAATAACAAGCTAGCTAAGTCATATATCTGACCCTGTGTCTTTTTGCTTATTCTCTTTTTGCTTTTTGCTTATTTGGCATCATGCATGCAGAGATGGCCTACGTTGGGGCAGACACCTGCAGGCACCTGAGCGGTACCTATCATGGGTTGTGCGACACCTCCTACACCCCCTGCGAAGATACATGCAAAGCCGAAAGCAAAGACAACACTGGCGGCGCTTGCTTCGACTCCCCTCCACGTTGCTACTGCTTTACCAACTGCTAGCTCGATCGCCCTGAGATGGATCCCATCCCTGCTTATTGGCCTCCCATTCCCATCCGTGTAATAGTAATATTTGTCCGGTGGTAACTGGTTACGTACTTAACTACGTCGTTGTAACAAATAAAATTGTTGGAACTGTGGATCCAACAACTTGGACATGGCGGTGCAAGCCAAGATCGAGGAGATTGGCCGGGACATACTGCTCCATAACCACAAATCTTCTTCCCGGTGATGGCGTGGGATTTGTTTGTACTATTTCTTTCTCTCTTTTCCTTTCCACCATAATAAAAGCTTGGGAGACATTACCATCGAGTCATTTTGCTCATGTTTTTCCTAGTAGTGTTTCTTCTTTATCTCATAAAATAAATATGATGCCAACTGTTATAACTTGTTCCCCGGTATGTATACGGTTAGATGATTTTCTTTTCTTTGATTAACGTGGGATTTTCTGTCACACCCAATTTTAAGAACAAAAGGGGATGTATAAAAAGTCTCATGTGCACCCCTAGAACGGTCGCATTTACATAAAGTGGACAAATTGTAAATTGTACCAACACAATGTTTATTACATAGCGCATGAATATTCAACTCATAGTCTCAAACATAAATATAATAACCACTAAGATAACTCTCTTGCGGAAGCTCCAACAGGGACGTCAACTGGTTGACACCAAGCCTAATACTCATCACGGTAATCTTCAATCCAATCTTGATCTGTTACCCATCAGGGATTTTTCCAACATAAAAGAATAAAGCAAGGCATAAGTACATGTCGTACTTAACAAGATAACTAAGCGTTCATGAGGCTCAAATAGCTGACACGGGTTTACTACGGTTAGCATTTAATTGATCATCCAATTTAACATTTATTAGCATCAAGATAGCAATAATCCCATAACACATGATCAATGAACATGAATAATAAATAACTTAAACATTAAACATAAATGATTATCTTAACAAGTAAAAGTCATCATCCCTTATGTAAGTGTTCCAAGGCCGCTCGTATCCGTGAGCACGGCTATTATAACAGTTTTACACTCTGCAGAGGTTGTATACTTTCACTGCGAGTCATGATTTCCAAATGTATGGGTTTGCAAAGTCCAAACACCGGAAATCATATAAAGCTACTCAGAAGTTCGTCTAACCGGGAAGGGCCACAGGGTCATCGGATATAGGAACCCCCCTTCCAATAAAAGGCCGCTTCCATAGCAAGGCACAATAGGACACAGGCTGTCCTATACCCAACTCGCAGTATCCTCTAAGCCAGCTAGAAAGGGTCTCCCAAGCAACTAGAGCCAGAGCCATATAGCCCTCACAGCTGTACGTTAAATCCCGGATGATCAGTTACAAGACAAGTCCTTCTGTAGCTAACAAAGCCATCTTGTTTATGTTTATAGCATATTCATTAATCAAGTTTCAAGATCATGATTGTTGCACTAGCAATAGGACTACCCAATGCAAACCTCCCAGGGTGACAAGGTAATTGAGTATTCAAAATCTAGGAAATCCTACCATAGGTAGCAAGGAAGACACATGCACATGTATTTTAGTGAGCATCATGAATAGGACAACAAGGAAGGTCCTTAGCTATACTTGCCTTGATCAAATCTCTCCTGAAAGTCTTGCTGGTCCTGCTGGTAGTAGAAGTTCTCTTGTTCACCAACGTAAACCTCACCGTCTGAACTCGATCAATCAACACCAAGCGGCAACATACAATCATCCGAGCAATCATGCACGAAGCAAACAAAGGCTATAATTAGAACAATACACCACCAGCAAGAAAACAGTTTGAAAAGTGTATAAAAACATTCTACTTGTCACTACGATCACATAGACGCGAAATTCACCGAAATCGGATCTAAAACGAGCAAGATATGGATTTTCCAAGTTTTCCCTATAGACTATTAATGCATTAAACATGAACTCGAAATTTAAAAACTGGAACTGGGCTAACAAGGACACTAACACATAGATTACGAAATTACGAATCCAACGCAAGTTGAATGGATCAAATCGGAGTTAAAATGAGCATTTTATAAGCATTTGAAAATCAGTGGCAAAACTGTAATCAGTGAAAACGTATTTTGATTCTGTTAAAAAGGAAAATACGTTTTCCAAAGACGAAAACGTAGAAATCAGAAAGCGTAAAGGACGATGGGTTCTATTATAAAGTCCGCCGGGGGCTCTTTAGCAAAACTACCACCCAAAGGGGTATCTATGAATCTCGGCCACTGGATCGAGATTGAACGATCTAGATTAGATCGGTGCGGTGTGCGGGCGGCGCTCCGGCCGGAGAAGAAGGCCAGTGCGACGGCGCGACATGGCCGGCGGTGAGGTTCTCGCCGGCGCTGCCGGTTCGGGCGATTCCGGCCACCATTTGGCACGGGACCGGGTCCATTCGAACGAGGAGCTCGACGCGGACTCACCTAGCTAGGTGATGGAGGCGGATGGCAGTCACCGACGGCGTGCGGCTCAACGCGGCGGCGACAGAGCTCCTGTGCACGGGGAAGACACGAAATAAGCGAAATTGTACCGGAGAAAAACTCGGGAAGACTCACGGGATCAAGGCGAACTCGTTCGCGTGCTTACGGGGACGAGAAGGATGACGGTTACGGCGAATTGCGAGCTTGGGTGGCGGCCTAGGGTTTCGGCTCGCGAGGAGAGCTCGGGCGAGGGCGGCGCATGCGCTAGGGCTCGGGAAAACGGGCACGGACGCGGTCACATGCCCTCTTATAGGCGGACTCGGACGTGGCCCACATGCCACCTCGACTCGGGCGGAAAAAGGGAGGCAGGATCGGAGTCCGGCTCAGGTCCGACGGAGGAGGAAGACGACTGACGTGCGGGACCGGATTGTCAGTGAGACAGAGAGAGAGGGAAGGCGGGCTGCTGCCGCTGGCGCTCGTGGGCTGCGGGGCTCGGCCGACTTCGGCCCAAGAAGGAGGCTGCGGCGCTGGCTGCGGCGCTGCTGGACTGGGCCAGCCGGGTTCGGCCCAAGATGAAGGGGAAGGAGGCCTGCTGCGCGCGCATTGGGCCGAGGGAAA